ATTGCGCAAGACCCTATAAAAGGGCTGGGATTAGTATAGGCACCTCACTTATGCCCACCAAGCAGCAGCGCAGGTGGTTTTCGGAAGGGTAGGGGTGGATCAGCCAGGTTTGCCGGCGAGCCACTCTGTGTCGGTGGTCCTGGTGGGAAGCAGTTTGGCATCAGTGTCGCCTCCGGCGTCACGGTGGTGTAGCCCCATAGGGTTCTAAGGCATCCGAGAGGCCGCGCCGCTCCATGTCGGCTGCTGACGGCTGTACGGCGATATTAGAGAAGCGAACGTGGCCACGATTCGCGGGATCGGAGGCCAAGGAGTCGCAGCGCAGGCCGACACGGCTAGGACGGATCCGGATAAAAGGAGCGGTAGATTCTATAATGATTATATCTTGGGAAATGTGCCAATGGTAAGGAATGGTGTTTTGAAGTACAGGCGTCATGAGCGAGGTGGAGGGAAATGTAATGTTGAACCCTCTCTCCCACTCTAACTGCTTTTACTTCTGCTTTTACTTAGCTATCCACTGTACTCCCTTCTACCTAGCGTGCAAAAGTATCCTATAAATTTTCTTTCAGAAACGTAAAGAGCGATGAGTACGATCAAGCCAGGATTTGTCGAGAAGTGGGCATTCCCCTCTACAACGCTATAACCCACTACGGTAATGAGGAGTACGATGATTGTGCCAAAGCTATGTTACCGATTCGTGACAGAATATACACCATTGGAGGAAGCAATGCTCAGGTGGGCTTAGCAAGCGTAAAAATATGTGGTCCAAAATTTGGCTTTGGAATCTTCACTGTTGGCACTGACTAACTGTAGGTGCAGATGAGCTCGGCATAATGTTCTTATTTGCCACTTCACGGCACGAATTTGGTGAGGCTCCGAAAAATTGTGCGGCAATTAATTTCATGCATGACTAGGCGTACCGTAGGAAGTGAACGGACGCAGAAAAATGGAGATGCTGCGAGCCCTCACGATAGCCGTCAGCGGGAGCTGTGTCGCCTTGGTCAATTGCATGCAAGTATACAGGTCGTGGCAAATAAAGAAGGAAAAAAATATTATAAACGAAATAATTGAAATGATTCGTTTCGCTCCTCCTCAGAGAACCTTATTATTTCGTCAATCCCCGAAGCTCATCAGGAGAGTTGGATTGGAGAACTAAAGACACAGGAAAGACGAATAAACCTTTGAACTGACGACATAATTACCATGGGCAGAGGAGCAGGCATAAATATTAATTGTATAATTGGATCAGAGCGAAATAGTAATTGGGTTGAAAATATGGCAACATTTTCATGAAATTTAAGAAGGTGAAAATGTTTGATGATTGTCCCTGATTTAGGCTATACTTAGTGATACTCTTTCATAGTTTATTAATATTTTGTATTTTAGTCCATGCGAAATTTGTACCATATAAACTTTTCTTTATAATGTCACTGTAGCTATAACATATTTATTGATATAATAAATTTAACTCATGATAACATTTCCTAGTAAAAATGTGTCAAAACAGAACAAGTGTTAGCTATTCTAAGTGTTTCAGTGTATATAACGGAGCCTTTATTATTTATGGAGATATTTGTGTCATTATGTGGGAATCTAATAACCTTGAACTGAAAATCATCCGTTTTGTTATACATCTAGTTATAACTCTATTCATTTATTATGGGCGAAAGTGGTGTAGTGGCAAGTGTTCAACGCGAGCGGTGCCAAGAATCCATCCCGATCTGAAGCCGCCCATTCTCAACAAGCCCCATCCCTCGGGTCGTTTAATTGTAACAAGACTTGTGGGGATAAAAAGACCTGACTGTACATCGGCATGGCCCCTCAGTAATTGCATTAGCATGGCATTCAAGAAGTCCACTACGAATTACAATGGAAGTAAGAATTGTCAGCATCCAAAGGGATAGATAATGGCAAATCTTCATCCTTTTTTATTCATCTATATTAAGTATTACATAAAGGATAAAGGATAAAGCATTTGCCGTTGATCAATCCCTTTTTGGGATGCGGCACGCATTCTACTTCCATTTGTACATTCGTAGTGCGTTTGAATGCGATGTGGCCTATACAATGACTTGCGGGGGCCAGCCGATGTTCAAGTCAGTGTTTTTTTATCCTCCCAGACAAGTCTGGTACCAATTAACCGACCCCGGAGGGATGGAAGGCTTGGTTGGCCCGGGGACTCACGACCCAGGATTTTGATCCCGGCATGCGTGGTGATCGTGCGCCACTTGTACTTACCCAATATCTGCTCTTGATTGCTTATGATCATTGTTAATTATATGTACTATTATTGTTAAATCCAGATAATTACTAGATGTTTCACTTAGATGTGTTTTCTTTCAATTCAAGTGTATTCATATACACTTCTGCTAGTTGAATGTCAATGTCATCTTCGGTTTGGTTATGTATCACTAGCAAATCATCCATATATCTGTATGGGATGAAGACTTATTTTTATCTAACTTCGTATAATGTATCATGACGAGAGGGTGATGACGCAGCCAATAGGGCCGGGCATGCCGAGTTGTGGCATTGTGATCTAACAACACGCTCCTGATGATCACGTATTCCTAATTTTTCAGTAAAAAGATCAAACCGTTCTGAGAAATGAGGTGTTACTTACTTTTCAGCGCGATTTGTTTTCTCAGACGCTGATCAATGCGTGCATGAAGTCGAAGGATAAAGCGATTAGTGAAATGACCCTGTAAGTTCAATCTTACTGAGCACTCGTCCAATCCATTCATCAATATTTTCAGGAAAGTTCTCGAGGAGCGAAACAATGTGAAAAAGTCAAAAATCAGTGATCGCCTTGCACTCAGGTATAGGAAGCTGCATCCTATGTAAGATTTCCTTACAGCTTCTCACGGTTGTGGCTCTTGTACTCTTTCAAAAATTGTAACTTGATTTCACGTTGGACTATAACTATCTGATTCAAGTCATGGAATAAAATACGATTTCTTGTCACTGAGCAAATTTGAAGACAGAAGCACTTCAATAAAAATTCCCCACTACATGTGAAAAATTACAAGTCGATTGCCTGGGACGCGTTTATACTCATTCGGCAGCTGGTTTACTGGATAGGACATTTCTTTCATTGCGCGCCATTGCTGGCGCGCGGTCCAATTGTCCCGCTATGTCAAAAAGCCCAGAGACCCTGAAAAGATTGGTTCACAAACTTAATGTGTGAAAAGCTATATCATCGAGAAGTACGACGATGTTTGCGTTGAAGCTCCTGTCACGACAGCAGAATGTGGAGAGTGGCAAATTCAAACATAAAACAGTATGCTAAACGCGGAAAGCGCTGAAATTGAAAAAGGAAGGAGAGAAGTCGAAGAATTTACTGAAACAACAGAGTTCACTTCATGCAAGCTCGGCCATGGTGCGAAGAAGAGACAACGCGCAGAGGAGCGAGTGAGAATATGCGAAAGAGCAAGAGGGCACAGGCGCTGTCTGCCGGGCGATATGTGTGCCACTCATGACCATCAAAGGCACAGGTCGTGATATCCTTGATTAGATTCTCTCCTTGAGAGGTAACAGGACCACTGATTACAGTTGCCACTTGAGAGTGCGCGATAAGGGAGCTAATACCATGCTTGACTGCCACTACCGCTGCCATCATCAGTCAGGTCCCACTCGTCCTTTGCGTTCCGGCCCGAATTATGAGGACTTGTAGAAAACGCTGTACACTTCAGAGCGCGCTCCGCCCATTGTGGGCGGGCCTCCGCCCACGTCATGTATGCAGGAAACACCTTAGACATTGCTCCCTTACACCAATTGTTTTCTGCTCTGTAGGCTTTCTCCCAACCGAGTTATGAAATTTTTCATAAAGCACTGCTTTTTTAGAGAGAACGCCCCGCCACCGGCGAATTCGGTCAGACTCACCAATGCAACACCTCTACCTGTTTTTTTTACCAAGTTTTCGAGCCTTTTTGCTAAAGAGAATGAAGAATCTGGTCGTCAGTACACTTCATTTCGATCTCACGCCCACTGTACGTGGGGTCGCTAAAGCTGATGTATATCGAGTATCGACAGTTGGGGTAGGTGTGGCAATGGATGTGACGTGTACTTGATAGAAGTTGCGTAGATAAGCTGTTGCCAGTATCATCGTTGGATATCAGCAAAGCATGCTGGAAACAGCTCATCCACGCAACTTCTATCAAGTACGATCACACTCTACCCCAACTTTCGGATACGGACTGTATTTTTGCTACTTCGTTGTACCTTGCCCCAACCACCTCATACTTGTACCCAGGTTCTACCAGGCGGAATTCCAGGAGCTAGGAATTTCTGGAGACAGCTTTTTGTACCTCAGTGGAACTGAGTATCGTACATGATTTATGAAGAGCGCTGGCTATCGTTGTCAAGAAAAGAAAGTTTCAATGTTGCCGAAGGCACTCAACGTTAGATCCTGACATTCATGTATTTAAGTGAACTGGCGAAGCTTGTGGCATTAAGGATGGTAAGAAAGTCCTGAGCCGTTTGACACTTTTTTTTGCTTACTTTCTTATTTCGCGTACAATGGAATTCTGCTCAACAATATAATCACCATTGTTACTCACTACAAGCCACACCTAAAGGCAAAGCCGTGTCTCCTCCTGAAGCTTGCGAACCAGAGCTTGGCACTGATGATGGAAGTGGTGTCCCTTCCCAATGCGATGCTGATAATGTTGACGGTTTCCACTGCTCCTGTGCCGCAGCGCCATTCATTGAAGATGATCGCTCGAAAGTGCTCTTGTGGAATCGACATCATGATTAAAGTTAAAGAAGGCAACCCGGCAATATATACCTACTGCGGAGAAGTATGATCGACAGCGATAATCTATCATTGTAGCAATTCACTATATCCTTCTATTTATATAAAGCGCTAACTTTGTGTGTCGGTTTGTGTATCTGTATGTGTGTGTGTGTGTGTGTGTGTGTGTGTGTATGTGTGTCCGTCCGCAAAATGAAGTGAGTGAGAAGGAAGCTCATGGGATAAACAAACCGCTAACAAATCGGGTAGCTTACAGGATTTGAGATATCAATGTTTTGTAGCAGGATAGTTGTGATAACACTCTTAGGGCTATATAAACACCTGCTTAGCACACTTCCGTTCATTCCACATGGTGCTGCAGTGGCAGCTGGAGGGCAGTGGAGAGAGGAAGGGAGGATGAGGAAGGGAAGCGAAAAATCTACCGTCATATCATGATTGTGTCCCTTCTACTGTATGAAACACCATTGTGTTGCATACGCGTCACTTCCAGAGGTGTTGGTGTCACAGGAGGAAGGGACCATAGCGGAGGATAGAAAGCTTGCGCAGGAAAGGAAGGTCCCGGCGGTTGACGGGGGACTAATCTGGTGGTCAATAAAAGAAAGTTGATGGAGTTTTCGAAAAAAATCGGCCCAGCACTTTGCTACCATCCTACGTAGAACTGTTGAACGAATTACGATCAAATATCGCAATGGCGAAAAATCTACGGAATTTTTAGTGAAGTTCAAAGAAAATAAGGACAAATTGAACGCTCTCTTTGTAACGTTTTGCACAAGGTTCTCCGAAAAGGAGAGTAAGAGCCGCCTGAAACGATCTGGGAATCGTAAAAAATTTCGGAAGTAACAACTGAGTGTAACCCTGCCGGATTCCTTCCCGCTGACGATGAAACTTACACGTTTTTCAAAGTGTTGAAACATTTTTTTTTTTTTTTGTTGCAACCCTATTTGCGAGATGTTCCATGCTACGTTGAGCGCTGCCAAGGAAGCGTAACTCAGTGCTCATACCAGGATTTCCCTCTCATTTTGGTCTTAGGACTTCTGTCAACCGTGAGGCTTGGCGGTTCAGCGTTTTGTAGTGATGTCTGGGAGCTCTCACAAGTGCACACTATCACAGCATCTCCTCTTTCTTTATCTTCTTTCAAAGGCTTAGTCCCAATAAGACACAAAGTGTGTGCTTTTCCAGCTACGCTCTCACCCTTTGGTTGACAGAAACCTGTAACCCATTTTTGGCGATCTTTTTTCGATTTTTGTCGCATCCTTTTTGCCAGACTATCGCTTAAATCAGACATCCTACGACAAACTCGTGGCAATTCCGTTTTTGGTTCGATTGGTTTGGCTGCTTCAAATTGAAACCGAGATTTCTGGCTCGTCGAGGGTTTTCGCTTGGTCAGCTACGTTCTCCCGCTTCGGTATTCACACTCTCCATGCGCTAGCCGTCTGTGCTATCCGGGCGTACGTTCACGTCTCGCCACTACTTTCGCCCATTACAAGCCACGCAAAGAGCTCCTCAACCGTTATTCACCCTGGAGACTATATTCAACTTATTCTATTCATCACGTACAAAATATTTTTTAGATGTTTCTGGACAAGTCTGAAATCCACGGAAGAGCAGGAAAGGTAATGTTCGTAGGAATGAAAGAAAAGGCGTTCATGTCGTGGCGGACAAGAGTTCATTTCAAAAGCAGGTATCTAAAAAACCGTAGGAAAAGACTTAGGATAAGCTAGGAGAGGGGAGAAACGTCAGAGAGAAGACTTGAAACTGCTCACATCCACCCCCAGGATACTTCACTTCCTTCACGCTCACCCCCACGATCTGTAAGTGGCTCACACACTTGAATGCCCCCCCCCCCTAAGAACATGAGCGCCAAAAAGTTTTTGACGGGCTTGGAGAATTCAAATAATTCCCAAAGTTTGAACAGTATTGAATGGAAAAACGTGGAATAGGAGCATTGGTGAGGTTTTGTATGCAGACGAGGTCCGCCTTCTCTGGTCGTATTAGGGCAGCTGACCCTCTCATTCTCTAAGTCTCTTGATCAATACGTATCTAATCCATTCTGCTTCTCTTTGGCGGCGCCAATGTGATCATTCCGCTATTGCGCCAAAGGTTTTTGTTGATCACCCTTTGAGCTGATTTTTTCATCTGCCAAGGAAAATTTTGCAATATGCAAATGTATTTTCATCACGTAAAGGCGATTTTGTAGAGAAAATCATTGAAATATTTGAATTTTACAGCAATGTCGGAAGTGCTTTTGAAATCGTATTTGTTTCAAGTCAGGGTTAGGTAGTGGTCAGGGAAAGTTAATCCTTGATCATTCCTTTTTTAACGTCTCGTTTTTTCTTTCTCGAAGTTCTCTGTTCAACTTTCGTGACCTTCAGCGGCAAGTTTCAGTGGCTGCTTCAAAATCGATATACATAAATGCACAATAGGTGCAAATAATTTGATTCTGAAACCAAGCGTAATTTACTTCATTGTAAACAGTCTTACCGTTTCCAGAGTACGAAATAAGGTGCTTGGGTAGGTGTGCGGACGGTTGCTATCGCGGTGCGCGGCATGTCCGCCTCCATCCTCTCAACGAGATAGTATAAACAAGCACATTTGCACCTAAATTCCCTCTATCTCCGGATTTACCTTCTTGCTTCAAAGGACGTAAACATGTCGCGCGCCGCGGCGGCGATTGCCCCCCCCCCCCTCCGGTCCCCCAACTGCTCACATCTACCCCAGGCCAACTGTCTCAGTACCCGAAAAATCCTCAAGCTGAAAGTTCAGCACAAATATTTGAAATATACACTTACACACGTGGGCCTAGTGGGCTCGGGCGACCATTTCTTGCAGGATGTGTCTTCTTGCCAAGCGGGTACCAAACAGGAGGCCCGTCGCGCGGCAAGAAGGCAGAGTCAGCGGACGAGTCGCAGCGCGTACTGTAGTGATTTCGCGTCAAGTTAAATAGAATGTACCATTGTACGTCCTACATCGCACATCACGCGCTGCGACTCGTCCGCTGACTCTGCCTTCTTGCCGCGCGACGCCGCCTGTCGGGTGCCGCACTGAGCGCGCCGGGCTGCCTATTCCCCAACCACAGTAGCACTCTTATTACTCGGGAGGGGGAGACGGTCAAGAGTCCCCCGTCGACCGCCGCGCCAAAACTAGGTCACCGCGCGCGACGTCGCCGGCGTTTTGCAGTTGAAACATGGCAATTGGCCAAGTTTAGGACCCGCCTCTCTGACGATCGATACAACACTTTTTTGTTCCGTCTGTGTAGTCCCCATTTCTGCATTTGTTTTTGCTTAGTCCTAGCAAATTGCCACGTTTCCAACTTGTAAGGACCGGTAGCCGCCGCGTGCGGTGACCTACTTTCGCTTGCGCGGCGACCCCAGGGGGACTCTTGTCTCGAACCCCTCGGGAGGTTAGGAAAATATGTGAGGAAAAGTGAATTTGTGTCGAATGATTTGATTTTGATTAACTGAATAGTCGATCGATATGTATCAAAAACGTTCTCGACGACCCTCCGAACCTCCGATTTCCTGGTTATCCAGTTGAGCGAACATATCAGCCACTTCTCGACCAATGCTTTTGTGGATTATCTGATGCTCCTATTCCCCGATTTTGGCACGTATCCAGCAATTCTCGGGCTTTTGAGATTTTGGGGCGGAAGTGGTGTAGTGGCAAGTGGGGCGCTCACCACGCTAGCGGTCCGGGGATCAAATCCTGGGTCGTGAGTCGCCCAGGCCAACCAAGCCTTCCATCCCTCCGGGGTCGGTCAGTTGGTACCAAAACTGAAGCTGAATCGCGCATTGCTTCGACTTACCCTTTTTTTATACAGTTAACCCTCTTTTTATACATACTATGCGGATATTTTTACCTTTAATATTTCAGTACTGGGTGCGAGGATTCGATCAAAAAATGGTAAGAAGGAAGACCAATCGAATGTCCAAGCGAAGTGAGTTCTTTTCAAACGAACGCATCACGTAATATTTGAAATTGAAAAAAAAAATCCTGAAACTTAGGAAAAAAGTTTAAAGGATCATCAAAGGTGTAAGGAACATGGGAAGGCGCTGGATCCAGACGATCTTGGTAATTTGACGCCGTTTACATGAACAAGTATTCCATGTATGTAATTTTTAAGAGTCAAATGATGACCATAGTGTCGCGTTAAGTACAGTCGGCTCGGAAACGGATTCAAGTACCGTACCATCAGGTTCGAATCTACTCTACGAGTTTTCACTAATTTTTATGGGAATTTCAATGCGCAAGCAGTAGCGTAAGTCATTGGTGCCAGGCTCGTCGTGCGCGAAGCAAGAGACGCATATGCGGCAAAGAGACGAGTTGCAGCGCGTGCTGTGCGATATGAGACGTAGTATGGTACACTCTCTTTAACCTGACGCCTAACCGCTACAGTATGCGCTGCGACTCGTCCCTTTGCCGCGTGCTGCGTCTGCTCGCTTACTGCCCCGCGCGATCGGGCTCCTGGGGGACATCCTAACTTGATGGTCAAGCTATTGTTACGATCTAGATTTCGATTACATGCCACCTACTTATGGCGGGTTGCGTCAAGTGATCCCGGTCCGGTGTGGGGAACCGACTAATGATCTAGTCCGATAGGCGCCGCGCAAAACGGTTTGCTTGTTTCGTGTGAGTTACACGTAAGGCTACTAAAGCACAGCAGCCAGGCCCACGAATCGTGCTCAAACGCTTCTCTATCGTCAGTGAGTATATCGACCATCGTCGCCAGTCCACAAAATGTGCGACCCGCCGGAATCCAATCGCAAGATGCTCCTACCTTGCAAAGTAAGACTGCGGGAAAAACTGGCAGGCTTTTTTTCTCTACTGAAGCTAGTTGTCTGCGCATCGATAGCGTATCTGGAGCGCTCGTCTTTGACTCATACTCCTCCTCCTCCCCGCGCTGATCTTCAATTCCCTCTTAGCACAGCCAATTAAGAAGGTGAGTGGAGCGCACTAACCTTAAACCTTTTCATAACGGATTTTTTTTTTCGACGTGACAGGCCCATTTCGCAACCAATACACTTCGCATTCGTCTGTGCAACAGCCAACACCAATACTGATCCATGGGCACACGGCTTTAAAGGACGAATTCACGATGAAAAAGCAACCCATTTCAAATTAACCTAGGGATGGTGAGTGGTACACGAAAGAAGGAAGAACCATGAGAAACGGCCCAGAACCCGAGAAATGGTACCCCTTCCTTGCCCGTTGATTCGAGCATTGATGCGACTCTCATCGCTGTGCCCTCTTCAACACTACGCTCTCTCAGCTATCTAATCACTCGCCACGTATTGAACTACGGCGAGTGATCAGATGATCGGTGGGCGGAGATCGCCGGACCCAGCGCCAAGCTTGCGCATGCACCTAGGTCGCGCGAGGTCAAATTTTCACGATGCAATCGCAAATCCCTCCTGCACAAGCAAGGTGCACGCCGGGTCTCCTCAACTGAGTCAGTTTCGCCTTTTATTTCGACTTCACTCTAAATTCGTGAATTCCTCCTTTGATTGTGGCGTTGACATTTTCTATGGGAAATGTCAAGGGAATCCACGGAAAATTCTTGCATTCTTTTCCCACACATGAATATGTACATTTGTGATTGCTAGAGACAACATGCCAAAGTCTCACGTCAAGGGAATCCAGTTTCCCAAGAGACAAACCGAGACACCACCCGCTGGGATGTGTCGGCAGGTTAGGCTGGGGCGGAGAAAAAAGGAGCGCATGGAGACGAAGTGCGCAACTTGCTGGCGGCAACGATCAGGTGCAACAGTGTGGAAAGAAACGGCAAGAAAGCGGCGCTACCTCCGGAGAACACGAACCAAAACGAAGACCGATAAAGTAGGATGCTTTAAAGGTAAATGTTGGTGCAATGAGTCGAAAATTCAAAAAGAGTCCCTAGTAACAGCACTCCGTGAACCAAGGGGAAGCGTTCCCACCAGGGTAAATAACGGTCGAGGAATTCCTCGACCATGGCTTTCTACTGTGCGAAAGTAGTGGCGAGAGTGAGCATCCACGTGGGAGAGTGTGAAAGAAATCCTCGACGAGCCGTTGCCGTTTCCTCAATTTTTTTTTCGATTTTCACCCTGACTCCTTCAGCAGCATTTGTGACAGATCTCTGGCGGGAATTTGAACGCGTAGCAGTCCTTCCAGTTTTTCAAATTGTTACCAAAACAAACAATTTTTTGTTCTTTTCGTTCTTATCGTGAACGATGGAGTCTCAAGCCAGTGATTTATGGGTGAGATAATCATGATTTTCTGGGAAGGATTCCTTCAAATCGCCTCCGCTCGTGCCCAGGGCCGAAACCATTACATGAGGAGATTTCTGATGCTTTTTGTTCATTTACCTTTTATTTTGGTTCTTGCAAATACTATGAGCTGCCTGGATGCGTGCAGAAGTGCTAAAAGTGGAAAGGTCCCAGAGGAAAAAGAATTACTTACCCTTGTATCCTAAGCCTATGTAGTGCCAGACTTTGCGAATGATCGCGGGATACGAGTGATGCGCCAGCGATTCCGAGCTGTGCGTTAGCGGCTCTGCTGATGCTACAGGGTTTCGAAAGTGTGGGGGGGGGGAGGTCGACGACGTAACATCAGGTTGTAACAATGTAACATCCAGGTTTTTGTTAACATCCAGTTCTGATGTCCAATCATTAAGACGCCCCAACGTCTGCGTTGCTGTCGGTTTACGCTACAGAACTAGTCAATCAGAGCTTCAACATTTGCCAAGACATTCGGAGGGCCAAGAAAGCGAATTCCGGTGGTATCGGTTTTCATATCTGTTATCGAATTTCCTTGTTATTTTCGGTGATCAGTTCCTATTCCAGCTCAAATGGATGACACCGTATCGCAGCAGGACCCACAAGCTCTTACGGCAACGCCAGCAGATCCCGAAAAGAAGCAGACGAAATCGAAAAAACATCGAAAGAATGCTCTCGAAAACTTCAAAAACTTCTTTCTCGACGCTCAGTTCAATCCCTTCGATGAAACCATGAGGGCACCATTTGTCGCGATACCAAAAGGAGTGGCGCGTATGAAAAAACGTACGAAGCAACACAGACGCCGATCGGATCAGCTTAACATTGACCTGGAAGCTCT